ATTCTCATAGGGAACATTATATTCTGGAACAGAAAGGAGAAGCAGAATGAATATGAATCTTATTACATACATTGTGACTTTCTATAAAACTCACAACTCCAGCTCGTTTGCTATGATAAATCTTATTTCTAATATTCACACAGTGCCTTGGAATATCCTAAACTGACTGGAAAAGAGATGGCGAATTTGAATCATATCCCCTAAACAGTACTGAAAAAAAATATCAAGTAAAGTATCAGAAAGCCACATGTCCTTTTCCTACTCATTATGAACAAATTCAGGGAGAAAACACACAGAGATACTGTATACCCGTTTCCCCGAAAATAAGACCCTATCTTATATTTTTTTGAACCCTGAAATAAGCGCTTGGACTTATTGCCATGTGCTCAAAAGCCCAACTGGGCTTATTATCAGGGGATGTCTTATTTTTGGGGGAAAGGGTACACTTTTCTCATCAACATAGTCACGTCCAACTATCAGATCTTTTTTTTTCTCAGAATTATCTTATCTATCTGAACTGTATTGGCCAAGACATGACTTTCATCCCATATTCAAAATACAATTTACTCTTTTGTATATACATAAAAATATTGGAGTGGAGATCACCATTATCATCTGCTGCAAAATTTATTGAGTTTGATACCTATGCAGCCTAGACAATAAATAGCCACTCAACTAGCAAACTGTAAACGCTGGAATCAAAGCACACTTGGAAAGTAACAGGATGGACAAGCTTGCATCCAGAATAGGCACAGAAATCCCCTAAGGAAGATGTTGATAAAGATGAAGGTAGAACAGGATATTTAACTTGCCCCTTGATTCCATGTACCATGTCTTAGACAGACAACTGAATTTTCCTTCTGCACTGGGGAAGTCTGGTGGGGCTACACTTTCATCATTTGTAGCACTTAGACTTAGACATCACTTCACAGTGCTCTACAGTCCTCTCTAAGTGGTTTATAATGTCACTCTATTGCCCCCAATAATCTGGGTCATTTTATCCACCTCAAAAGGATGGAAGGCTGAGTCAACCGTGAGGCTGGTGAGATTCGAAGTGCCAAATTGCAGGTAGCTGGTAGTCAGCAGAAATAGCCTGCAGTACTGCATTCTAACTACACCGCCACCACGGTAAAAACATTATGCTGCTTTTAGAGGCAAATTCCAGACTACATACTGTAGCACCAAGTTCTCTTAGCAGCATCTCCTTCTGCTGCATCACTTTGTTTAAAAGTGAAGTTTAAATAAGCCACTTAATCATCTATTCTATAGCATTGATAACCTTTCAGTCAAATCCTCTGAGCTGGGCTGTTTTTCTGAACAACCTAAAAACCCTGGAAAAGGATCTTCCATCCTTTTCTACCATCCTTGCTTAGCTTTGATGTCATTCTGTGGTGTCAACATTCCCAACAAAAGCTAGCACTTATTATGCTTGGCTATATTTCTGAAGGTAACATACTTTTCTAGCAAATCCATAGGGGTGTTGTTTAGTATTTAGTTTGACTTCAAATTGCACTGCAGTTAATAGGCAAATCATTCAGCCGTTTTCGTTTGACATTCAGCCAGCTGTCACAAGCCATAATATTCCACTACAAAAATGTTCCTGAACAGTAGAAATATTAATTAATAAAACCTGTTTTACAGCTGCAGAGCAGACATGTTAATACTTAGAGGGAAAAGGTTTTGTTCAACTTCAATTGCTCGCATGCAGAGAATCCACACCTACTGAAAAGTACCATTTATTTAGCAGATTAACTACTAAACCAAGCTCTGACTTTTCAACACTGAGCAGATCTATGAGAAACTCTTCCGTCATGGGGAAAAAACAAAAACAAAACCAGAGTTGTCTCTTTCAGCTGTCAACACATTGAAAATCTCAGGATTTGATCAGTACTTTAAAAATTCTTATTGAAAATGTTTTATTGTGGGTATATATACATGCTTAATCAGTTAATAACAACTATTCATCTCCTTATAGCAATAGCACTTAGACTTATATACCACTTTTACAGCCCTCTCTAAGCGGTTTACAGAATCAGCAAATGAGGACCCCAACAATCTCAGTCCTCATTTTACCAACCTCAGAAGGATGGAAGGTTGAGTCAACCTTGAGCTTGGTTAGATTCGAACTGCCAAATTGCAGGCATCTGGCAGTCAGCAGAAGTAATCTGCAGGCAGCTGGCAGTCAGCACAAGTAGTACTGCATTCTAACCACTGCGCCACTGCAGCTCTTATGTATATAAGCATGTATATTTTTCATAATAAAAGATTTAATTTCAGGTATGAAAATCCATGCATGAGACATTTTTGGGGGGGTCCCAAAAATTAAATCTGTCCATCAGCTTCCCTGCCCACCCCCAGAAGAACTGAAATCTAGCAATAACACTTAATACAATAATATACAGTTCGCATATAAAATATCAGGTATAGGCACTAATCCATACTGGTGACTCAAAAAAAACCCAGAAAAAAAATATCCAAGAGAAAGTAGATCTTTATCCTTGCAGGTACTACCATTATAACCATCTCGCACTTCTTGGCAGCTTTTTTCCCCATCCTTGCCCTTCAAATATTCCATTCTTAAATGAGATGGGTCTAGGTTGTCTCTTGCCTTTTGTGATTTTAATATCTGTACGACTGACAAGGATGCACATATGCCAGGGTTGCTAGGCAGCTGACATTTCTCTACCACCCCCATGTATTTTACAGACACCACCTCTTCCTTCTGCTCACTGGTGAAGATTATCACAGATCTCTAAGAGGTAGAAATGGAAAACATCTTTCAGGAAACTATAATATGGTATTTAATATAAGCATTGACAGTGGATACCATTTGCTTGATGAGTGCCCTTAAAAATGTAAGAATTCTATACAAAGGACTTCGCTGAAGCATATTTTCATAACACTTCCCTCCTACGAATATAATTTTTTTTCACAATTATTTCAATTAATATTATTGCTGCTGCTATCTAACAAAACTGCTAATGGTGATAAACCATCTCCACTAATTACCCATCACTCAGATTAATGAATGAAAACAGTCGCTGATGGGATGACCCACTTTAGAGAAATGAACAGCTATAGTTCTGCCCATTAGCCACTCAATCCAGTAATATTACCTCAATTAACAGTTATATTATATACAGCAGCATTATATAGCTGTGCCTTCAGACCCTGAATATGACAGATTTTATTGGATATTTAATAAGCAAGAGAATTATTTATGCAAGGAAACAAACAAAATTCAGACTCCATGTTCTTCTTTCTTTCAAAAGCATTCCTTTAAATAGAAAAATTAGTCTTATACATTCGTTTTCGCTTAATATTATTTCAGCATTTCAATTCAAAACTGATTTCTATATTTAAGCTTAGATGTCTTTGTGATTGACAATATAAACAAAAGAAAAATATTATTTATAGCCATTTAGCTCTACGATGCTGGTGTGATGTTATATTTCAAGACATAATGAGCAATTCATCATGTTTTGAAGATTTTATAAAGAAAGAAAACGAAAGAAAAAAAAAAGGAAAGGAAGAAAGGAAGGAAGGAAGGAAGGAAGAGAAAGAAAGCAAAGAGGTCATAACTGCCTATAGGAAGTATCTTGGCTGAGATGGGTGGCTATAAAAAAATTGAATAAAATTTTAATTATTTTAATTATAAAATAAATGTGTATTTATGCTGATAATTTTTTTAAAAAAATATCTTGCTGACCACCCAGCCGTACAGGAGAAACAAATGAGCTTGATGAAGCGATAATGCTGTAAACCCAAAACTGCAATGACACCTCTATGATAAAAAAATGCATTTGAAATTTTCTAATTTCAGAAACTACATTAGAAATGATGAGCAGCAAATGCTTTAGGAACTCAGATGTATTGGATTCACAGCCGGACAGCGTTAGGATAAACAGCTTTTTGTACATCTCAAATTTAACACAACTGTTATAACAATTATTATGCTGAATCTTGGTATACTTTTGCACTACAATCATATCCAAAGTTGGTCATATCCAGCATGAATCTATTTTACCCGCTCAATCTAACTTCCTGTTACTGGATTTTGAACAGTATTCTAATACAACCAAATACCCTAGATTCTTTCTTCCTTTGTGGAATAGAGCTGTTTTCTCTACTATGGAATAAAGTAATCATCATCATCATGCAGTGTAGGGAGGGGGGGGACTGTATCCACTTTACACATGAAAACTCCCAGTAGTAAAAAAAAAAAAAAGACTTTAGGGAAGAAGCCAATGGCTCAATCCAGTTAAGACCATAGGCCTGAGTAAATTCTAGAAAGCTGCTGCAATTCAGAACGTAGATGGACCAGTGGCATCAATGTTACTGGACCTAAAGCATACTTAACCAAAATCACAGTCAACTAAATTACACATTTTATGACTTGAGCTTTGTACACAAGTTTACTTTGATTCAATATGCCCATGATTAATAGCACAAAGATATCTCAAAGCAAAAACTGGGCTTTTGTTACTGCCTTGCTAATTGTAGATCACAGATCGATTATTGCAAATAAGACTCAGTAAATAAATACAGCATTGTACTGTTCTCAATCCCACTGTCTGGGTGGAAGAGCCTAAATTCAATTTCTATTATTCTTAAGTGGGATATATTTCATATTACCCCTGGATAGGTGAATATTAAGACAAAATTCAAGAGTAAAATCTTCAAAATAGTTTCAACTGGCTTAATTTCCAGAGCTTTGATTTTTACCTGGCTTTAGAAGAGGGGATACAGTGGGTTTCCTATTCCAGTTTATTTTAGTGTTCTTTTTTTAAAGGAACACATCCCGAGTGATTAGCGACCATATGAAGGAACATATATTTTAAACCCAAGATTGCAATTTATGCACTGATTCCTTAAATAAATTAGAACAAATAAATCATGGATCAAGAGTATGAGAGGAGAGATAGATTTCCCCACCCCACCCCATCTTACAATAGAGACACTTTAAATTCCCTGGATAGCATTTTAGTAAGACAAATAAATTGCTTTTATGACTTATTTTATTTTTTAAATACATTTCCCCTTTCTTCATGAGTGTGTGTCTGTGTGTCTGTGTTATATAAATATAAAAACCATTGCTTGAAATCGTCAGAAACAGGGTACCACCACCATATTGGTACATACTAAAGGAAGTACTTTCCACAGTTTCCCTTTAGTTTGATTTTTTTATCTTCATGTAAGGCATTAGTGACGTCTGGTGAATTACATTCAACGTGATGATTTTCTATTAAGGGCAGATTCGGGACTCCAAATGGATAGGCTGTGTGCACCATTCAAAAGTAGCCTCCTGGTCTCCGGGTGTCATTTCTGGAACTCGGGTGCCATCTACTGGCCATACGGGATGGATAATATTTTTTTCTCCACCAAGGAAATCTTTCCCTTCGGATTTTTTTCAGTGTCAACTCAGTTCTACAAGAAACAAGATACCAGCTAGATACCTTGGAAAGGAAATAAATGAAACAAGCAAACTTTTTTTTTTTTTGCTTCTTTTCATACTAGTCAAAATAATTTGGGGGGAAAAATGCTCTACGAAGTTAATTTGGCAATATAGCAATTCTAAAGTAAAAAAGAAGAGATATAACAAAAAAAATCTATAGCAAACACAACAAAACCACTTCATTTATCTCAGCCCAAACTATGATTTCAGTAAAACAGATGGAAGCTTGTAGCCTAAAGAGAGTTACTAGGTCTAATTTTCTCAACTGTTATAGAAAAAGAGGGGGGGGGAAGCAACATACCCACACAGTTAAAAAAAATGCTGAAATTTATGCCTCCCGTTCTAAAAATAATATATAATATATTCAATATATTTAAAAAATTTAAACTTCGGGGGTAGGGGTTGAAATCAAATCAAATGACTTTTCCTTGCAGCAGAACATAAATAATGGTACCAATAATTTCAAAGAATTAAATAAATCTATTGCATATTATTACGTAGGAAGAAACTCATTCCGATAAAAGCATAACAAATTGAAATGGAGGAAAACAGAAGGAGCAGAAGGGAAAAGGGAAGAGAAAGAAAGAGATTGAAAAATCAGATTTTAAAAATCCAAAATAGCATTTTGATAGAAAAATTGCAGAGATTGTTATTTTTGTTATATTCTATTAACATCACAATAGATTGTACTGGTATTAATAAAACAACATGGACTTAACGGGAAGCAAGGGTATGAACAGGGTATAGCTCAAGTTTTTAAAATTCAAGCTTTTGTATCTTCTAATATATATCTATTTTTTTTCAAAATGTTTTATTAGGAAAGCTATACCAGACGCATCACTGTACAATGATTAAACATTACCTTTACAATTGATATTTACTTGAAAGTACAGAATAAATATATGCACATTTGTATTTGTGTCTGTGTGTGAGAGAGTGTGTGTGAGAGCAAGGAAGAGAAAAAAGAAAGAACATTAAAAGTGTTTCTTCTAAGAAATATCTGTGATTGGTATCCAGTGAGTTTTATTTTTCCCCCACCTGTACACTTATTATGTTGGAGTCTTAATTAGAAGTGTGGCTGCTATTGAATAGAAAAGTAATAAACTTTTTTTAAAATAATAATAATAATAATGGAACTGACCTTTTCTTCCCCACAGGAATGCCACAAGAGACCAAGAGCTGGAAAGCTTGGCTTAAAATAATAGTTTTAGGCCAGCAATGTCTCTGAACTCCCTTACACAACATTTACTGTGGAAAATGGAGGGAGAGTGGGCACTTTGCAATAATGGCAAAGGAAGCTGATCGAAGAAGGTTGGGAATAGAAAGTTGTGACTGAGATTCGGGACTTGTGTGTACATGTAGGTGAAAAAGGAGAGAAGAGAGTGAAAAACATTAACAGAGGACAAGTTCCCCCCCCAAAAGCAGTTTCCAGACATGCAGCTAACTGCATTTTTGTTGTTATTCACCCCACTTTTGTATTCTTTTAAATAAATGTACAGAATCTGTGCCATGATAAAAGGGGGAGGGGAAAAGCTGAAGACGGTTTTTTTTGAGTCCACCTCCCATTGTTCAATGTAAAAAATAGAATGGAAAGGATTGTGTTTCTATAGTATTTTGTTTCTTAAAAGAAAGAGTGCAGGAGAGAGAGAGAGAGAGAGAGAGAGAGAGAGAGAGAGAGAGAGAGAGAAGAGGAAAAGGAGGAGGAGGAGGAGGAGGAGGAGGAGGAGGAGGAGGAGGAGGAGGAGGAGGAGGAAAAAGAGGGGAGGATAGTACACACAGAATTGTACTTTGTCAGGATCAAGACAAAGTTCCCCCATGATGCTAATTAATAATAATATTCTTATATCTTAGACAACATGGCACAGTCAAAGTCTCAGGTTTTTTGTTTTTCAATATAAAAAAATAATGATTGATTAACATCTGCTGGCAAAAGTCTGCAAAGGCACTTTTATCGATTAATGGTCATCTGAGTTAGGCCCTTCCTCCAAACCAACAACTGGCAGGGGGGAAGCACAGAGCTGTATCTTCTAGTATCAGCATGCGGTGGTCAGGGGGAGGAAAGGGAGAGGAGCGGATGTGATGTGAGGGTGCTCTGGGGGCTGGGGGGGAGTGGGAGATGCTGGAATTTGGCTGTAAAAAGCTAGACGTTTTTTTTTTTTCTCAAAACCTATAAGTGGTCTTCTCCAGGACTTCGAGGTAATCCGGCTTGGTTTGGAGTTTGGCCCTTAACTCGAGGTATTCACTTTGGGGGGGTTGATGATGTTCTGGGAAGCCCTTACCAGCTGAGAAGAGAAGAGTTTCTTTCAGTCTGGCGTCCTGTTGTAGGTCTGGATATTGCATGCCAGGGGGGTGCACGTGCAGTTCCTTTAATTTGGGCACTGTGCCGTATAGGCAGTCCACAAAGCCCACTGAGCATGGAGGGACCAATGGGGGCCTCTCCCTATTGTCTAGAACGGCACCAGTAGGAGGGAAGAGTACTACCCCACCATTCTTCTCATGGTGGAAGACAGGCGGCACCAGGGCTAGCTCCCCCAAGAGAGGAATCCCCACACCAATTCCTCCTCCAGATGGCTGAGGGTGTGGGTGATGGTTGGTTGTCACTATGGTGTTGAGCTGCGAGCTGGACACTGCCAGGTTCCATTCCTTCTCCTTCTCCAGCAAGGTCCTATAGCAGCTACTGTTCCCACTCTCCTTAGTGGGGTCAACAAACTGTTCCCCAACACAGGTACTACCTCCATTGCCACCTCCTAGAAGTATGTCCCCAGGTTGCCCAGATTCTCCTGCTATAACTTCATCTTCTTCGCGCGGCTTGTAGATGGGATTGTTGCACATCTGGGTTACCGGATGTGGGATGTAATCATAAACATGACCCATAGGGGGTGCCTTCTCTGGGGATGCACTCATTCCACCACCACCTCCACCGCCTGCCTCCTCAAAGAGGTGATGACATTGCATCTGGATGCCCGTTAAGTCAAGGGCTTCCTGCCGCTGTTTGTTCCGGAAAGGAAGCTTCTTGCGCCGTCGGCGTAAGACAAAGGCAAACAAGCCTGCAGCAATGAAGACTGCAGAGAAAAACAGCACAAGTAGACTAAGGATGAGCACAGAGAGTGGTACTGGCCCTCCTCCAGCTGGGGGTAGCTCATAGGGTGAGGGACTGGTAGGACTTGGGTGACCTGATGGTGGTGGTGCTGGTGAGGCAGTGGCAACATGTAACATTTCTGGACACAGCACCTCCAACTCCACAGAGCGGACATCTCTATTAGTAAGGTTCTCTGGGCTGGCACAAAGGACATCCCCCACCACAATGACAGAACTGATCGTCTCGATCCACTGCTTGAGGGGCACCAGATCACATGTGCAATCCCAAGGATTGAGCTTCAGGTCAATCTGGACAATGGCATTAAGGTGCTCCAACACACCAGCCACAGGCAGGTACAAGAATTTGTTGTTCCGCAGGTTGAGTCTGGCCAGGGATGTGCCAGCAAAGGCATCAGTAGGCAGGGTCCTCAGGAGATTGTCATTGAGGAAGAGTAGCTTCAGGTTAGGCATGAGACTGAAGGCGGCGGGTTGGATCTCCCTGATCTGATTGTACTCAAAGTACAGATAATGCAAGCACTGCAGGCCTCTGAACATGCCTGGGGTCAATCTCTCAATGTCATTGCCATTCAAGTATAGGCTTTTCAGATTAGGCAAGTTAATAAAAGCCCCATCCTGCACATACGAGATCCGATTGTTCCCAAGATGCAGAAGATCCAAGGAAGAGAAATTCCAGAAATCTGAACGGTAAATTTTTTGTATCAAATTCCCACTCAGGTAGAGTTTCTTGGCATTGATGGGCCTGGGTAAGAGCTCGGAAATATTGTGGAACCCTCTTTCCTTGCAGTTGACAGTTAGGCCCAAATCATTGATGTGCAAACTACAAGAGCAGCCGGTAGGACATATGATGGGTATAGGTGGCCTCGTCTGGTATGCAGCGATCGGAGGCTGGTTGGGTGCAGGATACAGGCCTCGAGGTGTAGGTGGTGGTTTGGGAGCCCTGGGCTGTTTCGTTGGCTTGGGCTGCTTAATGGAGGTTTTATATTCAACAGAGGAAGCAGTGAAATGGAAGGAGGACAACATGGAAGAAGGTTTAGTAGGCCAAGCATTTTCCTTGCTTGAGGGTAACTGAGGGACACCAACGCTGACAAGTTCCGAGTCAGACAACATGGGGCAGAGTTTATTTCTTTTGATTTCCCTCAAGTCCTTGCCATGGAAGTGAAAGGGGGTCTCACACGTAATGTCTCCCACAAGGGCAGTATACGGAATACGTTCCAGCCAGCTCTTCAGCTGAACTATTTCACAAGTACAGTTCCAAGGATTCTCTTCCAACTGAATCTCCATCAAGCTCCTACCAATGTGGTCCAGCATCCCTCGATAGGAAAGTACTTTCAACCTATTCCCACGCAAGTCCAAGTGAGTCAGAGACACCGACTTAAACAAATTGGTCGGAAGCATGGGAATTAGATTGTCATTTAAGATCAGGACCCGGAGTTTACTCAGGTTTCGAAATGCCCCACTTTCAATTCGCTTAATAACATTGTAATCTGCCTGCAGATATTCCAGACTCTCTAATCCCAGGAAAGTATCATTTCGGAAAACGTCTAGTTTATTCTCATGCAGGTACAGTCGCTTCAGAATTTTGAGCCCATTAAAGGCCCCCGTCTGAATGTCTTGCAGTGCGTTGTTGCCAAGGTTAATAGAAACAGCATTGTTCAAGTGGAGAAAACTGTTTGTGTATAATCTTCTCATGGAGTTTCTCTGCAGGTAAAGTTTGAAAGGTCTCGACCATGATTCCGTTATCTGGCTAATATTTATAAATCCCTTGTTGTCGCAGTGTATATGAAAAAGGCTTTCTTTGACTTCACAGTAACAAGGATCAAAGCAAGCTTCCTCAATTTCCTCAGAATCCTCAATCAAAGGAATGGGGGTAGTCCATGCTACTGCAATTGTGCTTAGAAGGGTAATCCACAGCATCCTTCTCTGACGGGGTGGATCTGCCATCGAAGGCTTCATGGTTCAGATGGATTACGAGACTGTAATGAGAATCAACAACACAAAGGGATTACAATCGATCAGCATTTCCTTTAAAAATACATTTCCAAGCAGTCGGACGGGGTGGGGGTGGGGGAAGAGAAGGAATGAGTTTGCGGGGATTCCTATCTTCATCACCAAAGGAAAAAAAACAACAACAACCTAGCAGCATTTACTTACTTTCGTACTCAAGTGATATCCAAACATTTAATCAGGCAGTGGCCTTCTTCCCTTCCCCCAGCCTGTCCACTCGTCTTTATCTAATGTTGTTTAGTACATAACACCATAATGAGGGAGAAAATGAAGGCTGGTAAAGGCCGTGCTGTAAATGATCTAGAAACATTCCCCCCCCCCCCCAAAACCGAGACAATGTTCAGGAAGCAGATGATGTGCACAAACTCAGCTTCATATTTGCATTAATTAGAAATGAAAAGATGCGGCTGAAGAGAGATTTTTTTTACCCCCTTTTAATCTGGATACAGATACTCAATTAAGGGTAGAGGTTATCACTGTAAGCAATAAGCAAACATACACTTAACTTTCAAGGGATGGGATCCCACCAGGGGAATATCCAATTTTACATGACACCACAACAGACATTACTGAAGAAAAGGAGGACAAACAAGTTTCCGATACCTCTGATTCCTAAAGAAATGCTTGCGACTGGAATTAGAAACTAAATACTGTACACAGCAGCAATGCCAGACTCAAAACAAGAGAATTAAGCCTCTGCTCTTCCCAGCGCCCAAACCCAAATTAACATAACTGGGATATAGTACCAGATATTTTTTTTTTTAAAAAAAAAACAACATGCTCCATATTAATCATTTCAGCTGATTAAAGCATTTAGAGATGATTAATCTTTGGAAAGAACCTGCTGTGCCATCTACAGATCCAAGTTGAAGACTAAGCAATGAAAAGACTGATAGGGAGATTGTCTGGCTGTACATTGAAAGGGGTGGGGGGTGGGGGAATACTTTGAATGATGATGCCTTGTGCCCAGAAGTCTACCCAGGGATGATCCAGCAAGGGAAAGGAGGAATGGAGGAAGACTGAAACTTGGGAGGAGATAAAAGACTTTTGCATCAACCACAAGCAAAATAACCATTCCTTTCTAGTAAAAGCCATCACCACCACACACATACAAGAATCAACTTAAAAGAGGCTTACCAGAACACAATGACCTACACAGGTTTCTCAGCTTGTCTTTGTTTCCTGGGTTCCTTCTTTCACCCGCACCCCCTCCATTCCAATACAGAAGAATAGATCACTGTTAAAGACTAGGCATCCTGACAAAGGTTGGGGGGGGCTTCATCGCCCTCCATCTACTGCCGTTCAAAGGTTTGCCAAGAGTCCCTGGTATTTAGTTGGGCTGCCTTCGCGGGCAAAGGAGAGACGGATTCGCTCGCACTCCCTCCATGCAGGAGAAGACACTTCAATTCCTCCCTCCCGATAAATAAAGGGTGGCGGGGGGGGGGGAGAGAAACCTTCCTTGGTAAAAGGTCATATTTAGGAAGAAAAACTGGGAGGGGAGGAGTTAGTGGGATTCACATTAGGGAAGAAAGCAAAGGATCCATTTGGAAATGAAGGAAATTGGGGAGCCTGGTAGGAAGAGAATTATACGAATAGGGAGGGGGAGGGGGAGGAAAGAGATCTCTGGGTTCAGCATTTTCATTTCACTCTTTGCCTAGACAAGCGAGCACAGCGACGTATGTGTGTATATTATTATTATTTTCTCTTCTATGTTTTTTTAAAAAAAGATGTTTGATCCAAGCACACATGGGGGAGGGGGAGGAAGAGAGAAAGAGAGAGAAAGAGATCCAGAAAAAAAAAAAAAAGCAGCTTCTACTTACCGGGTTTGAAGGAGGAGAGATTTTAGTACATTTGGAGAGCAGAAAAAAAGAGGGAGGAAAAAAAAAATCCTAGAAAATCTTACTTTAGCAAAATAAAGAGGGAAAAAAAAAAACCCAAAATGACATATAGGCAAAGAACGTCCTCGGCTCTTCCTTTTTTTTTTTTTTTTAAGTTGCAAAAATAAATAAATAAAGGATTGCTGGTTTCTCTTTCTCTCTGCTCTGATTCTATACTCTAGCTTGGGAGCTGAAGCAAAAGGGAAAGGGGGGGCTGAGCAAGCACAGATGAGACGTGGTAGGAATGCAATGAGCTTCTTTAGGATGCAGAGATACTGCTTGGCACAGTCAATGGAGCAGGGAGGAGAAGGGGGCTGCTGCAGGCATCCCAGTTTCTGCTCTTGCTAAGCTATGCCTGGGCTGGGTATATATCGCCAGCTCATCTTTGGGGAAAGAAACAGAAGGAAGGAAAGGTCTGGGGGTGGGAGACCGACCAAGGAAGGGAAACAGAGCTTCTCTCCTGTGCTCTGGATGCCTCTATGGACCTTATTGCCTCCGGATCAGTTTTTCCCACCATGTACTGGAGCTTCAGGAAGACGCACTTGGCACCCAATCGGGAGCACACATCTGGGAAGTCCTGCCTGACTGTACAGGGTTTGCCCCCTTCTTCTGTAAAGAGAAAGACTGGGGTGAAGAATATCTATCTATCTATCTATCTATCTATCTATCTATCTATCTATCTATCTACAGTATCTATCTCTAAGATATCTAGCTAGGAAGAGGTCAGAAGTGGGGGAACTCTGAGATAATGGGGGAGGCTGGAACTGAAATGCCAGAATGGATTTGAGCTGGAGGTGGTCCCTGCCCTCGTTTCCCCTGAAAAATAATCTATGGGGAGTGTGTGTGTGTGTGTGAATAGGGAAGCCCCTAGGGCTCTCAAACATCCAGATTCCACCAAATTCTTGAGAGCAGCATACTTTAAGGCAAGGTATGGAACTATCTCACATTCAGGCAGGAAAGATTCTTAGATTCTCTGCAGTTCTCCATCAAACCTAAATCTGTCCCAGGAGAAGAAAATACAAGAGCAGCTTTGTGTCTGTTTGTGTGTGTCTAGATATGTGGGACTAAACAAGGACCTTTTTCTCTTGCCTTACTTTTTCCTATTCTTCTCATCCTCTCCCCACTTTCCCATTGCACTAGGAAGTCTTTGCTCTCCCTTCCAATAGGCTATTAAAAAAAATGTCTAGAACCAAGGGTTGAGTGACAAGGGACCTCTTTTTCCCTTTCTGCCCAAAAGGAAATAATGGACAAATTTAAGGGCTGCTGCCCTTCCCCTTATCAAAAGATCTGCCTTCCCCTTTCTCCCCTTTTTTACGATTCTTCCTGAAATCTACCCCTGAGGATAGGCTGCCTGGTAGAAGAAAAGAAAAGGGAAAGCTCTAATCTAAGCAAAATTTCTGTCTGAATCCAAGAAAATGACAACAAAGACAAGGAGCCTGGAAGGTAAAGGAAAATTCAGCCTGTGTAGAAAATAGGGGGCCAAGGGATTAAAAGAAACAATGGAGGTGGCAAATCGTAGCTACTCAAGAGCATCCAAAAAAAGGTTTGCTGATATAAGAATCTCCTCTGACCATTACAGCAAATGGAGTTGATGCCCAGTCATTTTTTTTTTTAAATATACCCAGGATCAGTTCCATCTTCAAGTTCTGTGAAAGCTGAGCTTGTATTAATCCATTGGGTGGCTTCCAAAACTGCCCACCTTCCTGCCCAGCCTAAAATTCTTCCCCAGGTGAAAACTACAAACTTTAAGCTTTCATAAAATGGACATCAATCCCGTTTCAATCAGGGAGGAAGGGGCCTTGTCAGCAAAATCCAGTTGCAGCCTACAAAATGGATTTGGAGGGTTGGTTGCTTTCTGCCGTTCCCACTTGAAGCGGGGTAGAGGGAGGGGGCAGTGAGGCTGGCAGGTGGCAGTGTCATTGGATCCCTTGGGAAACCTCCCCCCCCACCCCCCAAACTCTATTTCTGCTCTCCCTATCACACTCAAAAGACCTGGGATTGTTAACAACCATTGAATGGTAGGTTGAGTGATGGGTTCAAAAATCAGACAGGCTTGCAAGGAATGAGAGACTCTTGTGCCTGAACTATTCTCTTAGGAGGCTCCACAAGGGTTACCAACCCCCCCACCCCCCATACGAGTGTGTCCCACCCCTCACACTTTAAATAGCTCCATAGGCAGACGCAGCAACAGCCACCTTGTTACTATGTCCTCTGGCACCATGGAAGTGCTCCTTAGTTGCGTAGGGGGGGGGGGAGCGGTGTGGTCCTTTTAATTGCTTTAAATGCAATCGACAGAAATCAGGGGTTTAAAAAAGGCAGGGATTTGTGCGATTTCTTGGAGAGCTGGGGAAAGGAGATGAATGGGGTGGGGGGTGGGGGGGAAGAAATGAAATGGAGGCAAATTAGCCGGAGGCAGTACATACCACAGCTCTTGCCCTGCACGAACAGGTCTAGGGAATCCTTTGCAATACAACCAGAGCAAAAAAAAAGAAAGAAAAAGAAAAGAAAGGGGTAACCTGTATCCCATTTTTTTTTTTTTACCCGCGCGCTCTTTCCCAGGCATGCACAGATACAAACAAATCGCCTGTGGCAAAAAAAAAAAAAAAAAGCTGCAATCGAGCTTCAGTCGGTCGCCAGGTCTAACGGACAAAGAGCAAAGAAGGAAGGGCACCGAATACCTAAAGGCGATCCGCGCAGGATGGGCTGTCTGGATATCGGTGAGTCGCCCCCGGTGGCGCGGAAGGACGGTCGCGTTTCCCTTCCTTCTTCTTCTTCAGGAATCTGCTCGGCAACTTCCATCCTGGGCCGAAGCGCAACCTGGCCAACTTCAGCCCTGCTGGCCCGCCGCCGCCGCCGCCGCCGCCTTCATACGGCCCCCCCCGCCCCCAAGCTCCAAGCGCGCCCGGTTCCTGCTCGTAATCCGTCCCCGCGAGCTCCTTTTCCCGCCCCCCCACTCCCCTTCGCAAGTTGGCCCGAGGAGAGACGGGGAGCAGCGGCGAGGAAAGGCTGGGCAAGAGCGATCGCCCGGAGGAGGAAGAGAGCGCTGGATGCAAATCAGTCAAGCGGGTCATGGCGCCTTGGCAAAAAAAACGCAGCTCGCCGGACGCGCCGCGCCTCGCCTCGCCTCCTGCCTTCCCACCGCGGCGGGGCCGCCCGCTTCCAAGGACGAGCGCGTGGCTCCCGCCGAGGCGGCCGCGACGAAAGAGGCGAGCCAATCGCTCGATCCCCGCCGTTGAATCGCCGGATGCATGGAGGATTGCTCCTGGTGCCTTCACTTCTTCTCTCTTTCGGGGAGGGGAAAGTCGGCCTGGAGGTTTCCGGAATCTGCGGGAGGAGGGGGCATCTCAGCTCGCCCCGGCTCAGCTGTATCCTTTTTTTTTTCCCTTCCCTGTCTGAGGCAAAAATAATAATATTTTTTTTTAAAAAAAAAAATGGTATGGGTGGGAGGGTCTGCCGTGCCACAGTGATGGAGGCTGAGCAAGGAGAGGGAGGCAAAATGCTGGAGCCCGTCAGCTTCTTATTATCCCAGTCTCTTAGCAGAGCAGGAGCGAAATGGCTTTCGGGGGTGGGGAAGGAGAGAGCTTTTCCCGACGGTTGTAAAAAAACTGGGCTGGCGACGGGAAAGCGGAGGAAGCCAAGAGAGCTTCGCAGCTGGACCATCTGGTGGCATCTATCTAGTTGGCGGGCACCATCCCATCCCATCCCACCTGCGCTTCGTTTTGGAGTAAGTCTCGCCTAACTTCAAAATAAGATTCATTTTGAGAGATGGCTGTGGAAATCGGGCCGTCCTGACTGGGGGGGAAAGGAGTTTGAGGGGAGGGCACTCTTGTCAATGTTCAGTTCAACCGTGATGGGGGGGGGGAGATGGGAGGGCTCCCGAGGAGGAGGGGGAGGGGGACATGACTTTTCACCTGGCAACCAAAACCACTTGAGAAGGTTCATTCACATGATGGCAGGCGGTAAGGACCCTCCCACGTGGAAGGGGGACCTTTATCTGCAATTGCACTTGGACTTTCTTCTAAGGAGGGACCACCCCACACAGACCTAGGTCAGTATATCTACACTAAATATCAATGGGGCTCTGAAACGCTCAGACAGGGATTTCCCCGTCTCTCCCTAGAGATGTCGAGGGTTGAAATGAGTGTATGCCACACATTTAGTGCTGACTTTCAGCACACTTAAGATGCAGCATGTAAGAGTTTGTGGATGATGTTCCTGTTCCATAGAGTGATCTCCTGATTTTCCTTCCTGGAGCTGAAGGTAGCACTTTCTTATCCAGTTTTTCCCCACCACAGCCCTGGAAGGTAAGTTGGGTTGAAAGATAGGGGTTGCCAGCCACTGAGACGCCATGAAGATAGTCTTGTTCACTACCTAAAGCAAACCTAAGCAGGATGCTTTCTTTCAGGCTGCCCAGCAAGCAGATTGTTCAGTCTAATCTTCTTTGGCATGGCCCATCCCATGAGGA